TCTATAGAATAGTAATGTTTTAGTAAACAAAAATAAATATTAGTAAGCTATAGATATACTCAAATATCTTACAATAATATAATACTAACTATTAGCTTTAGATTCTTTAAGTTGCTAATAGCTAAAAGTAATAGATATAGGATTAAATATACCTTCCTTTAAGAAGAATGCTTCCAGTATATATTATAATTATACTTTAAAAGCATTTATGAATATGAAGACCTTGATACTACTTAGATGATCTAATAAACAGTTGATGAATATCTAATAGTTTTTGCAAACCTTTTTAATCTAGTACTTATTAGATTACTTGAAAGCAGTATATTAAGATATATTTAAGATATAGCGCTTTTTTTGGATATTAAATTTTAGTTTCTGTATATTATAAAGATGTGTTGGTAATTAAATATTATTTTATAGTTGTTAAAAATATTTATAAATTACTAGTTTCTTTAGCTTCTGTAGCAAATCTATAGTAAGCAATATAATATATCTAATTTCTTTTTGTTTAGAAATCAGTTAATATACTAATTTGATAAAATCTTATTTCTGTATAGATAAGTTAGATAAATTAAAATATAATTTCTAGTTTAAAAGTATAATATCTAATTATAAATAAAATATAATTATAATATATAATTTTGAATTCCAATGCTTTTCTTTATATAGTAGAATAAAAGATTATTTAGATTATTAATTTTTTTATTTATAAATTGTTTTTTAAATTCTATATATTTGTATATAGATAGGTTTTATTTTAAATAGATAGTATTAATAAGATTTTAAAACTCCTATAATTGATATTATTACTACTTATAGAAAGTAAGATTATTATTAGTTTATTAGGTCTTTCTAATTAAAGAGAATATATTATATAGAATAATAATAATATAGATAAGAGAATATTCAATAGTATTATATTTACTTATTATATATAGTATATTAAATTCTTTTAGATAGAAAATAGAATTAATATAGGCTTTATAGTTCTGAAGGTATTAATATAATACTAAAACAAAAATATAAACTTTTAATAAATATTTATAGATTGTCTAGATATCTAGATATTAGTATTGTATACTTAAATAATACTTTTTAATTTTGTATATTAGAGTTTATTTTCTAGCAACTAGAAATATCTAAATAGACATAATTTCTATTTTTTTTCTTTATTAACTTTATATTTTTATTCTAAAGCTCAAATCCTTATTTTAAATTTTATTTATTATTCTTTTAATATAATTTAATCGATAGCTTTTTTTTATATCCTTACTAAAAGGTTTTTATTTTCCTACTTATAGTATTAATTAAGAAGGTTTCTAGTATATTCTATAGATATTTAGTAGACAAAGATCCTAGAATAATATTTCAAATAAAGAATATTTATCCTTAAAACAATATTTATTTATAATATATATAGAGTAATCTATAGAATATTAGTTTATTATCTTTTTCAAAAATCTTTTTATTAGCTTAACTATATAGATATAGACTCTATTTTTAGAAAAGCTTTTATTTTTATCTTTCTATAATAAAAATTATAGATATAAAAAGTTAGATTTTTAAATATTAGTAGTCTATATATATATATTGTTAATATGAATTTTAAAATAGTCCTATATAGAAATAATTCAAATAAATCCTATATTTTATTAAATAATATATTCATTAATATAATATAGCTAATTAATATAATATTAGTTTTTTAAATTAATCTAAATATATATAATCTAGCTCTCGATCGTTTAGAAATAATAAATAGAGCTTACTATAGGAAGTATTTCTTAAGATAGGTCTATATACCAACAAATTTGTAATATTAAATAGTATATTGTATATAAACTTTTAATATCTAGGTTATCTTTGATAGAAATAGCTACTCAAAGCCTTTTTAGCTTTATAGAAATTATTAATTTAGAATAATATTGTTGCTAATATAATAAATATAAAAGATGATTTTTCTTTCTAATTATTCTTTTATAGACTATTATATATAGGTAAACTAATAGTCTCTTAGTTATACTAATCTTTTCTAATATATTTTCATTTAATCAAATATCTATATATTTCCCTTTCCTTCTATTAATAAATATAATTAACCATTTTATAGAACTTTTAATTCTCTACAATAGCAATCTTCTATAATAACAACCTTCTACAACAACAACCTTCCACAACAACAACCCTCTACAACAGTAATCTTTTATAGCAACGATCTTTTATAACAATAATCCTTTACAACATCAACTTTCTATAATAATGATATCTTTAATTATATTATTCTTATTTAGTATATTTTTATTTGACTATATATTTATATGTTTTTTTTCTTTTTTATTAATAAATATAATCAACTATTTTATAAGATCTTTAACTTTCTATAATACCTCTTTTCTATAATACTTCTCTTTTATAATATTTTTCTTCTATAATACCTCTTTATAATATCTTTATTCTATAATATCTCTCTATAATAATAATCCTTTATAATACTTTTTTTCTATAATACCTTTCTACAACAACAACCCTTTATAATATCTCTATTCTATAATACCTCTTTATAACAATAATCCTCTATAATATCTCTTTTTTATAATAATCCTTTATAGTAACAACCTTTTATAATATCTCTTTATAATACCTCTCTATAATATCTCTCTATAATACTTCTCTATAATACCTTTTTATAATATCTCTCTACAATACCTCTCTATAATGCCTCTCTATAATATCTCTTTATAATATCTCTCTACAATACCTCTCTACAATATCTCTCTATAATATCTCTCTTTTATAATACCTTTCTATAATATCTCTTTTCCATAACAACCCTCTACAACAATAACCCTTTACAATAACCTTCTATAATAATTCTATATAATAATAATCTACTATAATATAATAATCTATAAACAAAAGATAAATCTTTTAAGATTTAAATAGCTTATTTAAATTTTATATCTAATTTCTAAATAGTTTTATAAACTTCTTATTCAAAGAAACAGCTTATTTAAACTTTACATCTAATTTCTAAATAATTTTATAAACTTTTTATTTAAAAAATTTTCAAGGATTTTTAGAATATTTTCAAAAGTTCGATCGTCCACCTGTAAACTTTTAATTATAAAAGTATAAGTGATAATATAATAATTAATATTTATATAAATTAACAACATAGTAATGATAGAATAATCCCAACTCCAGATAAGATTCCTAATAGACAGCTATGTCTCAGGGTCTAGTAGTATGCAGATACGAACAACCAGAGCAGGGTTCAGGCATCCATCTGACGGAATTGGCAGAATTATAGGCGGTATATAGCTTCATCTATGATCAATCAGCAAATGGCAGAAAATGATTAATAATCACCGAGCTCGGCAGTTTTAGGACCTCAGGGGCAGAATATCGGCAGGACCCTTTCCATGGTTACAAAACGTATATCCATGGGTCTAAATTGCATTTTCAACACCCTACCAATACCTTATAAATACTACCAAACAAATTCCAATACTACCAAACAAATTCCAATACTACCAAACTTTTTCCAATACGTATTAGCTTTCAATACGTATTCATGAGATTTACGGTCATATATGTAGAAAAATGCTAATACGTATTGAGTCAGAATACCCGATTACAACGGTGGTATTACCGTAAAAAGTTCCTAGCAAACCCCTGCATGGTAGCGTGATAAGCCAATGTTGATGGTCTCTCGCGAGTTCTTCCCCACTCAACTCTTGAACCAATCCACGCGTACCTCTGTACCTCTGAATCGAACTTGACTGGTCTCAGTATCTCACGAGTACGAGTGCTGAAGTACGCGAAATATCACCATGCCGATTTCAGAGGAGACGCTCCAGGCATCCGTCCTCGGTCGCGCGATTGACGAAGCCTCGAATGAGACGGTTCGCGCAGTTCTGAAATCTACTTGCGCAAAAAGCGATGAGGCTCGCAAAGAAGCCGAAAGCCGTCTGGTGGCAGTAACTACCGATGCCAAGGACGAGCCTGAAGCAGCGAAAACACCAGTACCGCGCTATGCCGTTTGCGTGAATTGCGAGAAAGAATTCGATGTCACGACGAACACGAAAAAGTCGTGCAGATATCACCCGAGTACGCTAACGCAGAAAGAGCAGAAAACCTATTTCAGAGTGTACACAATACTAACACAGACCTCATAGTGAATTGTGAGCCTACAGGCGAGGAACTATGGGAGGACAACTATGATGAATTCGAGGTGGACACAGAGGAAGCGCGCGAGGAACTCCCGCACTGCTTTACATTCGGTTGCTGTCACGGAAATCTTGAAGACAACCCTGAAGGATGTGTGATTGATTTCCACGAAGAACCCCATTCCAATAAGAAGCCCGCGAAACGCGCGCGGGCCTGTTAACTCACAACCTCCGCCCACGGGGCGACCATGCTCAGTTTTGAACTCTTCACCAATGGTGCTTGTGTGACCAGAGAAACATTGTCGCCCAGCTCTTTGATCCCTGTGTCTAGAGAGCACACGTGTCACTTAGGATTGAGATTAGGATTGCAACCTGAAATTATGCAAGGAACACAGAACCAAGTGATCTACCCGTGTTTCGGAAGACAAAATCGAGGAATGAAATGGATCAATCGCACTGGGGTGGCGGATGAGAGAAGACAAACGAACAGACGTGGCGGGGAGGAAGGAAGTCACAATGGGCCAGTTACATCCATAATTGAAAAGAGAGTACCATTATTCATCTTCGGCCTCATTACTTTCAATTCCATTGTAAATTACTCCCTCGTGCCTTTTCTTGACCCCGAACATGTTCGGGATTGAAATCAAGCCCGAAACCTCAATGTTTACAAATTTTAAACTGCTGACAAAACATCTTTATTTTATGCACTCCAGCTATTTAAAGATGTTCAATGATAACGAATTTAAATTTAATTCTACTGCAAAAAGAAAAACAAATCTATTGCATTCTTCCATCTGAGGAGCACTTCACCTTGAAAAAAGAACAGCAACCATGTCCAAGCTCATTACCGTCTTCGGTGCCACCGGAAAGCAAGGTGGCTCCGTCATCCGCACTATTTTGCAAGATGAAACTCTATCCAAGGAGTTTAGGATCCGAGGCATCAGTCGTGATACTTCGAAGCCAGCAGCACAGGCGCTGTTCAAGCAGGGTGTTGAGCTTGTCTCAGTAAGTCGGCGCCACTTGAGAATCTATTCGGGTATTTGTCCAACACTAATATCATCTTCAGGCTGATATGAGCTCCAAAGAGTCCCTAATCAAAGCGATTCAAGGAAGTCACTCTGTTTTCCTCGTGACTACGCCAGCTTGGGGCGTTGCCGGATCCGATGCCGAGCTCATCCATGGCAAGAACGTAGCCGATGTCGCGAAGGAAAGTGGCGTCCAGCATCTCATCTTCTCGTCTCTTCTCGACGTCACCAAGGAATCAAATGGTCGGCTCAAGCATGTCCCCCACTTCGACCAGAAGGCCCACGTTGAGCAGTACATCCGCTCAACTGGTGTTCCGGCTACGTTCATCTTGCCTGGTTACTTCATGAACAACTACACCTCTTTCGGTATGCTGCGCAAGGGTGAGGATGATGTCTACACATTGGCCTATCCCATTGGCAAGGATGCCCTTTTCCCTCTGATTGATATCGCGGCCGATATGGGTACGTAACAACATCTTTCCGTTCTGATATCAGACGAGGGGAATTAACACAGTACCTAAAACAGGTAAATTCGTCGCTGCCGCATTGAAGAACCGCTCCGAGACTCTTGGCGCTCAGATCCTTGCAGCCGCAGAGTACTACACTGCCACTCGTATCCTTGCTGAGTATGAGGAAGTGACCGGAAGGAAAACTCGGTTTGTGCAGATTGATCCTGAGACTTACAAGAGTTTCATCCCTGGACCGATGGGCGAAGAGATGTTGGAAAATCACCTCTTTATTGAGGAACCTGGTTACTATGCTGGACGGAGCTTGAAGGAGAGCCAAGCCCTTCTTGCGAAGTCCGGATATCAGGCTACGTCTTGGAAATCATTCCTGGAGCAGAACAAGTCCTCGCTCTAAGAGTTTGGCCCAGTGAAGGAAAGTTCATTTGTGTGAAAAAGCAGGATTAAATTATATCATGATACTGCGAGAGATGGTGTTGTGAGGTAAAGGGTAGGCCCGACCTCTACTCCAGTGGATCCTCTCAGTTTTGTACAAAACAAATCCGTTTCCAAGACATCTTCTACCTTCGCTTAACTGTGATTTCTCTCATGCTCCATCCGTCATCGCGATAAAGTAGCAGTCCATACCCTGCTATTTTTAGAACAGCATAGTTGCTCCCATGAGCACAGCACCGAAGAAGATCGAACCTCCAAGTGAAGGCGAAATATTAACTCCGCCATTGAAGGACACAGAACTGGTCGGTGAAGCCGTAGCTGAAGAGCCGGTAGGCTTTCCCCTGCTACTTGAGCTTGATGTTGCCGCGGCCGTGATGTTTCCTGCATCCAGCATGGCGCCGACCTTGGCCCACAATTGACAGATGGAGAAATCAATCTCGCCACCCTTACTCGAGTTACCGAAGATCATTCCCGGGGTTTTCGCGCCCGTTGATGTGATCTTGAATTCCGGCCATTCAATAGCGTCGGTGGATGGCTTGCCGTTCTCCGTCATCGCAGTCCACAAGCTGATCATTTCATCGCTCAATTTCCGCTCATCCTGGGTACCACTGCAGGTGTAGTTCGCTTTTGGGTAGCTGAAATCCAAGTTGCTGAAGACATATGGAATTTCGGCAGTGTGCGCGGCTCCAAGGAATTCGAGGTTGTCAGCGATGAGGGTTAGCGTATCCAACCAGGCACAGGTATTGTTGTGGGTGAATTCATAGGCCCATGTTGTGTGGCCGTTGCGCGCGGTGCTAACTGCACTCTGGTACGTTGGGCATTTGAAATGCACATCCGTGAGAACATGGGAAATGGCCTCAAAGACACCGGCTCCCGATGACAATCCTTGTTTCTTGACAGCGGCCTCGTACTCGGATAGAGCGTAGTATTTCTCGACCGTTGAAGCTGCGGAGCCGAAGTCTCCTCGGAGGAAGTTCTTATAATCAGTCGCCGTGAGGTTCCCAACGAGCTCTAGAGACGAATACCTTCCGATGACGTTCAAAGTGCTCTCTTGTTGGTCTTGAAAGTTTGAACTGTCAGCGTCGATTCGATTACCCGGTGAAATAAAGGAGGATACATACTGAAACCGAAGACCGTTGGGACTTGTGCACCGCGAGTCAGCGGATTCTCTTTGACGACCTTGCCATCCACAATTGGCCAAAACTCGGGACTCAGGGCATTGGAACTACCAATTCCATCAAGTTGCCCGAGGCCCGTGTGGATGTATGAATCGGCATAGAATGCCTTTTGAAGCTCGGCTGGGGACTTGGAAAGTAGACAGGATTTCTGAATCCAGCTTTGTTAGCTCAGTGCATATTCAAATGAAAATGGCCCACTCACATCACTGGCACCGCATTTAAGCTGCTTCGCATACGAAACTCCGACCTTTTGGGCGATTGCTGTGTTTGTCAGTTGGGGAAGAGCGATCGATTCAACGATAGCGCTGTTGAACAGAGATGGTGCTTGATCAAGAGTGGCAAGAGTGTATACATCTGTGGCACCAGCTGATTGTCCGAATGCGAGGACCTTTTTCTGTATTTTCGAGCCGCATTAGTCAAAGAAACTTGTAGTGAAGGAAGTTGAGGCTGAAACCACGTACGGGGTCGCCGCCAAAGGCAGAAATGCTTTGCTGGACCCACTCAAATCCAAGAATAAGATCCTGAATTCCTTGGTTACCATTGTATCCGGCGCCATCTAGTTTCAAGAAACCGAGAGGTCCAAGTCGGTAGTTCAGTGACACCACAATCTGGTCTTTCTCAGCCAGGTTACAGCCATCATACAGAGGATATTCAATGCCGCCCATCGCGTCGGATCCTCCAAAGATCCAGACCTTAACAGGAAGTTTGGAGTCTTTGGTCGCGCCAGATGGAACCCAGACATCCAAGTAGAGGCTAAAGGAGAGTCAATGCATAAACAATAATGGTCGTTTGTTAGGTCACAAGTGAGACAAACCAGTCTTCGGATTTGGCTCCAGATGGCACAGTCTGATCTCCAAACTGAATGCAGGATGGAGCCGGGGCAGTGGCATTGAGCACCCCGTCAGAATATTTTCCGCTGTAGGCCCTGGGAGGTTCAAATCGCAATTTTCCGACAGGAGGTTCGGCAAACGGAATTCCCTTATAGAAGACTGCATCTTGTCCACCACTGCACTTTGCACCCTTGACAGTGCCTGCTTCAGTGTTGACCGAGGGCGAGGCTAGAGCCGTGGCCACAAAAGCCGACAGGGAGGTTGAAAGAAGCAGCTTCATCTTCGCTAATGTTTGAAGAGTTGAGTGAAGGATGAAGGAGCATCTGTGAAGTTCGTACTCTACCTCTTTATATGAAAGAACGCCAAGCTTCGTCTGCCGTAAAGCCTCAGCTCTTGTTGAGTTAAGCCTCATACAACTGTAGGTTATATTATCCACCTTTCAGCCCCAATAATTTCCTGGAGATCGGGGGCCCTCTTCTGATTGGCTATGCATCGAAATTGTCGAATCGGGACTAGCGTTCACGGCTGTTCTCTCTGATCTGAGGTTGAATTGGGTATAGATCAACATCTCAAGATCCACATGGCACCTGACAGATGGAGAGGATTGGTCCTAACTCGGAAAAACAACAGTAAACAAGTTCACCTCTCCATAATTAGATCTAGTCTGCGGCTTGTTAGCGTGAAAAGTTGAAACTGTATTCGGCTTAGTGTTTGGCCCCCAAGTTGCACTGACGCATTAGTTATAGGTATTCTTCTTTCTCACCAAGCCTTCACTCAGCCCGTTGCTCAGCCTGCCACAGGTCGACCAGCTCGGTTCGATTAGTATGATTCCTTCGAGAATTTGCGTTGATTTCGCGACCCCGGGTACGCAGGTCTATAGCGGCCCGGGCCATTTTCAGTGTTCAAGACACAATTTAGGCATGAGGCATACACATTTCCCTAAATTTTGGACCACAGAAAACTATTTCGGCCCCCTTACTCAGTATGAAACCCTATTTCTCCATTTTCAGACTATGCCAGCATCGGGGTTTTCATCATGACGGCCCCTTTGAGTAAACACAGTGGGGTGGGCATCTGCATACTACTCGTACACGCAAATATCCTCAAAGCCGGGGCTCCCATTTTGGCGGGGCCAGAGGGGCCTTCAACGCCCAGAAACCTGGCGATGTGGGTGTTTGTATGGGGGCGAATAGCTTCAAGATCAGGGGGCGACCCACTGTAGTGGGCGGTGTACCTGGCGGGGTGAGCAATAACCAAAAGAGGAATGAGATCTGCCCAAAACACTGAAATCGACTTTATGAGTGGTCACTACAGACCGGCTTAGCTCGGGAGAGCTGGCAGCCAACACAACAATTTACTCCAGAGTCCCAACCTTTGAGATGCAGCTAAATCAAAACCATGTACATAGAGAAGCTGCGAGGATCACTTCTCCTCTCTTTTCATTCTCAGCCGATTCATTCTATCCGACAACGAAGATTCCCCCGAAAAAGAAGAAATGTCTGAGACAGGGGATACGGGAGAAATTGGTGAGTCCCCAACAAGCTCCATGACTTCGTATCTTCTTTTCTCACTCAGAGAGTTCGCACTCTCCATGAGCCTTTCGCTGATCCTTGCTGGTGCAGCCACGCAGTAGCGCTTGAGAGCGACAATAACGACCTTGAAGCCCGGTGAGTCGACTTTCTCGAATTTGCAGATGCCCCGGTGATCTGCGGCGATACCACACCTGTCCGTCCCATCCAATATTGGTGCAGCGCTATCGCGATCCACGATATAATCCATCGTGTATTTCATGTCAGTGCGCAACTGCTCCCATAGAAACATTATATGATACCGTGACATCAACGGAGAAAAGTCTTCGGCGATGTTCTGAATTGTTTCGGAGTCATCCTCTATTCCGGTAACGAGACTCGTTTCGAAGCGAGCGACCCTCTTGGGAACAATAAGTGACGCTAGTTTGTGAATGGTGTCGAGCTGGCGGGCTTTGCTAGACCCACTGTGGGGAGTGCCGAAGAACAAAATCCCGTACGTGCAGGTGTAGATCATATGAAGTCGAGCGCTCTTCGCTGACGTCCGGCCTTGGGATAACGTGAGGGCTCTTTTGACTATGATGCCTCCGAGGGAGTGACATATGAAAATGATGGGTCTCTCAGTGGCATCTTCGAACTGTTGTGGTCAGTAAGATTTTTCTTTGCTTCTGGCATCCAAAGCATATGAAGGTGAAACCAAACTGAATCATTGAGAAGAAACGCGTAAGCGTGTATGTCCCGTTACTAGGTGAGAGCAGCTTGAAGACACACTCGATCCTAGTCGAAGGCAAACATGACAGCCCGGTTTGAAAACAAAATCTAGCCGAGCATGCTCCTTACAAAGTACATCACTACTTACCTCTCTGTCATTTTGAAGCTCCTCAAGAAGTGTTCCAGCATGCTGAAGAATACGGTCTGAGCTTGTTGCCTTACCCCCAAAAGAATTTGTGTTCGCGTTGTACCCCCACGACAGAATGCGGGCATTCTTGATGTAGTTGGGTAGAAGGTCGCTAAGCCAGCACACATTTGAGGCTTCGTGAGTCCATGTTCGCCTGGCGTCACCTTGTAGACCATGAACAGCGACGATACTATTCGAACCAAGTGGTCAGCTGGTGTAACAATTTGTCCAGAGTCCAACGCATACTCAATTTCTATGGGATGTTCGCTCGGTCTGAATAGTTCAATAATGCCATTGTGAAGGGATCCCGTTCGAGGCATGTTCAGAGGTATAAAAAGACAGATTTTCATAAGACCATAAGATATCACGATAAGACTTGGCGGAAATGGCGGGTGGGGCTTGGTTATAAGATCTTCCCTCGAGGCAATCTCACCTGTACTTTTGTTGATACAGGGATCTTTTGGGACAAGTCACGATCGTCTCGCAACCGCCAGATCAATCGATCGATTTGCTTGGGCTATTTCTGTTTATTTGCTACTCGCCTATAAATAGTTTCATCCTGCACATAAGCAAGTCACGGCGCATAATTCGGTATAATTTTATTGAAACGTATGTAGTCTCAGCTAGCTGCATGGCGTGCTTGGGAAATCACGGACGCTCAGCCGTGTCAGGATTTGGCCCCTGGAGGTGCATTGGGATGTGGTCTGCAAGTAAGTTGCGTAATCGGTGTGAAATTTTCATCCAGCTTTTCATGTCTGTGTGTTTAAACTGACGAATGGTCTGTCCATCTTTGATCTTCGGTTATACTCGAGTGTGTCTGGCTTGAGTTTTCGAACTGAGATTGTTTTAACGACTCTTCATCCCCAGCGCGCTTGAGGACATGATGAAATTATGAAATCTTTATGGCTAGCGTGTCAATGACACCCTGCAACCTTCACCTAATGATAGCACCAATGTCACCTTCTGCCTCTGCTGGGAGATCTTTTCGATTCCTTCCGTCTGGTGGGTGGACCAACCAGTCCACGGATGTTTTTGGGATTTTGTGGATTTCAATTCAATACCAGAATACCCCTGAAGAATTCGGGCTGTAGTGTAAGATGCTTCAATTAGAGCAAACTCCTCTACCAGACCAGGAGAGTTAGCAGTCTATCAACAAAAGGAAGAGATTCACTTACGCCCAAGACAAATTCGAGGACCCCCACTGAAGGGTAAATAGCCCCATGTTTTGGTATATTCCGGCAGATCTTCGTCCCAGCGTTCTGGGCGAAACTCTTCCGCGTCCTCACCATATAAGTCCTTTCGGCGATGCATTGAATACACACAGAATGCTACATTCTCGCCTTTACGTATGAGTACGGGGGAGTTTCCGTCGGGGCCACCACCCGTGGGGAGGAATGTTGTTCTCCGAGCAGTCCTCGTGTTAACGGGCACGGAGGGATATAGTCGAAGAGCTATCAGCAACGTAAAAATTAGCCACGATACAATCAAGTCTCCAGAAAATCCCGGAAGGCAGTACTCACTTTCCTTCAAAACCTTCGCAAGGTAGGTCATTCTGTTTATATCTTGTCGATCGATTTCTGTCCTCCATCCAAGTACCGAGGAAATTTCAGCTTTGACCTTGACTAGAACCTCGGGATGCTGGGCTAAGAGAAAGCTTGAACGAAATCAGCGCAGTTATACAAAAAATGAGCATAACCCAAAGCAGATCCTCACTCACAATGTCCAACTGAGAAGACACGCGGTTGTATCTCTACCAGCAAGCAACATATTGACCAGTTGCGCTCTCAGGGCCTTCCTGTCACATGAATGCTTCGGGTCATTTGCAATAGCATCAAAGAACAAATAACGGTCACTTTTCGCCGTATCCTCTTCTGGCTTTTGACTTCTCTCCTCGATAATTCCATCCACAAACTCATGAACAGCAGCACACGAGCGTCGAAATTTCCGACCACCGATTAGCCAATAAAGGTCTAATAGACGAAACCGCTGAATCACGTAGTTTTGAGCAACGTCAAATTCATTCGCGAATCTCGCCCCTCGTGAATTATCATCCTCTTTAAGGCTATAAACTGACTTCCCGAAAAGAAGCTCCGTAGTAGTGTCCAGGGTGAGATTAAAGAACAATGGCTGGAGGTCGATGTCGCCTTCATTGGCGTGTATGTGATCAAGCAGGTTGTCAACATGAGGTCGGAAAATTTCCATATCTCGATATTGCTGCTTTGCGAATTGTGGGCGAAGGAGATCTCGAGAATGCTTCCACGAAGATCCTTCCTGAGTGAAAATGCCGTCTCCAAGCAGAGGGAAGAAAATCTGACGACGAAGTCCGAAGTCGAAATCTGTTCAAAAATTCAGTTTTCTGGCTTTTGCACATTGGGTGGAAAGCTTAAGGATTTGGTGGCTTCCTACCATCAAGTTTAGAGCTCATCATGGCCTCTAAATTCCTGGGCTCGGTCGTTCCATACGCGATGGTACCCAGGAACTTTTGTTCTAAGGTTGTACCAACATCCGTGAAATGAAAATGAAACAAATCCATCAGCCTTTGTTCATAGTCGGCTGTCCAAATCTGGATGAGACGATCGATCCCCAGCGGCCACCAATTTCTAAGTCTTGGGGCCCGACCACAATCATGCTGGGCACCAAAATTCTGATCGGACTATGGAAAAAAAATGTCAGCTCTATCAATTCTATAACGATCCAAGGCCATTAGCAAAATTAAACAAACCTTGTACAAGAAATGAGCATGAATGAGTTGGTAGACAAGCCACGATATGATGGCGCCGATTATTGTGGACAAAATAAGTAGTGACATCTCTATATCTTTAATGCACCCTGGTCGGAAATGTTCAAGGTACCCTTAGTAGAAGAAAATATGAAGCGAGCGACCGTGTAATGAAATATGAAAGTATTCTGAATGGCTGAATTAAGGGGCTGGATCAAATGCAGAATGCAAACCCAGGCTCGGAGCCTTGTCAGGCAGGCCCCTCGGGACTAGACAAGGGTATATTCCGCGCTTTGAGCGTGATGCATTGGCGCCGTGTGATGCGGCCCGCATTAACCGGCATGCGAGCATATCCGCGTATCAGGATGCAGATTGGATAGTCCGGTCGAGCCTATAAATCAGCATCAGTACGCCAATGCTAACCATCCTTGGCTTGGTTTGGCGCTGTACCCATGTCGTTTGTGTACTGATTATCGTACGGGTAGCCATTTCGAAACAGAGGATCAAACTAGGGATTCTGTTCAGCTTGGGGGTTTGTTGGCCAAGACACCCCCGCTTCACATAAACGCTTTTTCCTAAATAATGGTCATGATCTTTGACGTTCAATGTGTTTGTGACATCTGACCTGTAATTTCTAAACACCGTGGTCTCAATGACCGTAGAAAAAATTTTCCCGGTATCCACCGACGGGAAGTGGGACGATTTATGTGTTGAGTAAGCTTTCAAACGTCAACTATTGATCGCGAAGGGACCTCGCTAATTGAGCAGTATCGTTGCCATTCACGGGTTAGACGAGGATGGAGTGACAGCTTGGATTCATCCCAGCAATGGGTGTTTTTGGTTGCGCGACCTGCTTCCTAAAGAGGGGTTCAAGGCTCGGATTTTCACTGTGAATTACAAAGCCGATGCTACCTCGTTCTTCAGTAGCAGTTCGGCAGATCGGATATCGCATCATGCTCAGACTCTTGTGGAAGAGCTCAATGCCGAAAGAGAGCATGATGATTCCATACAGCGACCGATAATTTTTCTATGCCATGGTCTCGGTGGTTTGATTGTCAAGAAAGCCCTTATCTACGCCTCTACATGCACTTCGGCAAAGATGACGCACCTTCATTCTGTCTTTACTTCTACCTTTGGTTTGATTTTCTTTGGAACTCCTCACGAAGGTATAGAGAAGGCCAGGTGGTCTCTTCTAGCAAAGGGGTTGAAGGGTGTTCTCAAGGATCGAAGCCATCTCATTGCATCTATGGAGAAAAAGTCGGAAACTCTCCAGACGATCTCCCAGCAATTCTCTCCTCTTCTGAAGAATTTTCACGTTCACAATTTTTGGGAAACAATCGAGACATCACGATCTATTGGTTCAGGACTCATCGTCAGCTACTCTTCAGCGGCCCCACCATGGGATGATACCGGGCGCTCTGGGCTTCCTGCAACCCATTCACAGATGTGCAAATTTGGGGACCGTGAGCAGCCTGGTTACAAGTTAACATGCGGCATTTTGCATAGGTTTATTAAACTAGCGGGCCCATTAATAGCTTCGCGACACCGGCAATCCGACTCCTTTCTTTCTGCGCGAAGGGAATATGAGGCCACGGAAGTTCTGTCATTCGACATACACCACGACAACAGACCTGTCGATTTAAAAGTCAAGCCCGCCGTCAACTCTCAGAATCAGCATTTCCTCGTATCACTCGCCGTGAGCGACAATTACACTGGAAGAGAAAGACTTGCTCAAGGACTCAAGGAAAAACTACTCGCGCCTAATATACGCCAAAAGCGCTTTGTGTTGTACGGTTTGGGGGGATCCGGAAAGACTCAGTTTTGCTTGAAATTCGCTTCAGATAATCGAGACAAGTACGATTTATTGCCCCACCCCAAGCAGATCGCTTGGAGTCATTATGTTGAAAATGCTCATACATTCATTTTTAGTTTCTGGGGGGTCTTTTGGGTTGATGCAAGTAGCCCCAAGGCTGCTGAGCAGGCCTTTGCGGGTCTTGCTCGGATTGGCAAAGTGGAGGAAAAGTTGGAGTCTGGTCTCTATTGGTTGTCAACACAGGACATGCCATGGCTTTTGGTTATTGACAACGCTGATGATGCAAACTTTGACTACGCCAGATACTTTCCTTTGGGTACTAAGGGGCATATTTTAGTTACTTCCCGAAATCCTGACTGCAAAGTTCATGCAACTGTCGGCTTTGAGGAGTTTGCAAACCTCGAGGAAGAAGATTCGATAACTCTACTTCTGAGGTCCGCTATCATGACCGATCTTCATGATCCGGATGCAAGAGCCACCGCTCGTCCTATTGTGCAAGCTTTGGGTTGCTTACCACTCGCTCTGATACAGGCGGGTGCGTCCATTCGCCAGAATATATGTTCCCTGGAGGACTATCTGATGGTCTTCAACTCCTATAAGAGGAAGCTTTTTCTGAATGGGATCCAGCAAGGTCAAGGCGCATATGAACATACGGTTTTCACAACATTCGAAGTCTCTTACAACAGGATACGAAGCCTCACAACAGATGAGGCGAAGGCAGCCATTGAGATACTCCATGTCATGGCATTTCTGCACTTTGATCAAATACCGGGCACGCTCTTTGAGAAGGCCTGGGAGGGCTTTTCTAGCCATGGAAGAATCCATACCCTCAGCGGCCTCGCTGACAGGATCATACATATTCCAGGAGATCTAGTAACATTATCAAGTGGATATGGAGGTTGGTTCACGATGTTTGCCGAGGGACGGCTGCCTCGAATTTTTTCCCAGACTGAAAGTTCCTGGGACAAGCTCCGCTTCCGCAAGGCAATTCACCTGCTTTGGTCTTATTCTTTGATTTTGCAGAATGTGAACATCGGAAGCTATTCAATGCATCCAATGGTTCAATTCTGGGCGCGAGAACGACTCCAAGGAAAGGCCCAAAGGATTTGGGGCAAAATTGCATCTCAGGTATTGTCTGAGTCAATTACTGCAGTATCAGACCACTCGGAAATCGTATACCGACGGTGTCTGGTGCCACATATAGATTCCTGTTTGAGAAACGACTACTCCGACTCCCGCAAAGGTCTGGAGTTCGACAATTCCAACATGGGTCAATTCGAGCGGTTTGCCACTGTCTACGCGGAAGCAGGTCGATGGAACGATGCCGCTGCCATACAAGAAAAAATAATACACACCAAGGGTGATATATTTGGCAAAGACAGCTCCGAGGCTTTAGATACCATGACGTCGCTTGCCCGGAGCTACTGGAATTCCAGTCAAGCAGAAAAAGCTTTTCGACTTCAAGCTTCAATTTTGGAACTTAGCAAGACGAAATTGGGCGCCTTTGACCCAAGGACACTTCAAGCTATGGACAGCTTGAGTCGTACACTTTGGTTGTCCGGCTCTATCGCGAAAGCCGACAAACTGGCACAGCAATCATACGAGGGATTGGCACAAATAATGGGACCAGATCATCCTTTCACACTCAGTGCCATGCATAGCTTTGGTCGAACGCGTTTGCATCTGGTCGACCTGAAAAGGGCACAAGAACTACTTCTGCGGGCATGGGAAGGGAGGGCGAAGATGTTTGGTGCGACCCATCTAGACACCCTCGAAACAATGCAGGACCTTGGAATGACTTGCTTGGCACTCAAAGAGATTGAGGAAGCTGAAAAGCTAGTGTCATTTGTTCTTGACTGTAGGAAACAACTTCTTGGTAATGAGCATGCTCATACTCTATGGGCCATCAACGATCTAGCCAAGATATATTGCGCCCAAGGCTACCCGGAGGACGCAATAGTGCTACTGATTCCGACGCGAGAGATCGCCACGCGAACCCTGGGAGTAACTCACATAGGCACAACAATGACAATCTTCAACTTGTCACGAGCTTATCTACTTTTGACCCAATTGCACAAAGCGGAAATCATTCTAAGTGAACTCATTGAAACGGAGATCAAGGCTTTAGGTCCAAAGCATCCAGACGTCTTCTCGGCCAAGATCGAACTCGCAGAGGTTTTGATGAGAATGGGAAAGGTGCACAAATCAGAAGGACTATGTCAAGAGGCACTTGAAGGAATCTCTAAACTGTTTGGGCTTGACAGTCCTCGCACAATTCAGGCAAAGGCGCGAAAGGCTGCAATATGCAAATTAGGCAAGCCTCAAACTGCCACAATTTCCTCGCCCTAAACTACCGGAGATCAGTTCAACCTACTCCGGATATCTTGCCTGAATCTCGTTTTTCATGATTGGGACTTGAGGCCAGCAACATCTACGCAGGTCTATAGCCGCCTGGGTCGTTGTCAGTGCTGAGGCAGATCTAGTTGCTATTTGGGTTTCAACGTCAAATCGCTGGATTCACCGCCCAGGAGAGTGTATTGAGGTACGGACCTCGGGAGTAAAGACCAGGGTCAGTCCCTCCCTGATATTGAGGCTTTTCGCCCCTATAACAACGCCCACGTCGCGAGTTTCTTTGGCGCTAAGGGCCTGTGTGAATACGTTTGGTAAGAGTCTTGAGACTATTCGCCCTAATAGAATGTTTATACTGCTGTGCTTTCAGAAGTTGAAGATCTCAAGGGACCCGTCGACTTTGGTTCCCGGGTTTGAAATGATCTGGGGAGATGCGGGTACTTTGCTGAGTACAGGAGCTGCAATGACAATGTAGGTATCTTAGTATGTACTCCCCAGAATTCAGGCAATAATGAACACCCCAGACCTACATAATGCCTGAATCATTCAAAACGATCCTGGCGTCTATACACCTGCGTAGACCTCCGTAGTCTGTTAAGACACAACAACAATCCAACTGAGTAAGAAACTCATTCCTTTCAATTTCAGAGGTTTTCCATTTAGATGTCTTAAATTTGATGATATCTGTTAAAAGAGTCAAAAAGTTTAACGAGCAACTTGCCCAGGTGAGAGAAAGGGATGACTCCCACGATCCGTGATTGGTTGGTTGCAGTTGCCAGTTTCAATGCGGAGTTCCCGCCTCGAGATTACTGTGGATACTTCTATACCGGAGAATAGGGGTTTTTTATGCCCGTATTCAAACCATTATATAAAAAAAAACTCACTGTCTACCTGTTATGAAACAGTATTTGGGGAAAAAGTCCGTATTCTAATGGTTATTCAAAAAAAACCGTTGCATACAGTTTCTTAGTACAAACTGGTTCTGTAAGAAGACCGTTGTGAAACTGTTGTTGAATCGTTTGAAAAGTCTAACCGTTTTTCAACTAAACTTTTTATATTACAATTTCAAAACTATTTTTTTCAAAAAACCATTTTTAATATGTAAAACTGTTATTTTTTTAGAACTGTTTTATAATTATAATAATACTATTTTATAAGAAATACAGTTTTAAACCTTTTTTTTGGTATAAATAGTTATATCTAAAAAACTATATTTTTTCTAAAACAATTTTAGAACTATGATTTTAATAGTTTGCAAAAAAAATATAGTTTTAAAATTTTTTTTAGTTATAAATAATTATTTTCAAAAAACTATATTTCTTTTAAAACAATTTTAGAACAATAATTAACAGTCAATAAAAAAAATATAGTTTCAAAATTTTTATTTTATTTTAAATAATTATATTTAAAAAACTATATTTTGTTTTAAATAATTCTATAACAATAATTTTAATAATTTATAAAAAAAATATAGTTTTAAAATTTTTTTTTATTATAAATATTTTTATTTAAAAAACTATATTTTTTTTTAAATAGTTATAATATAATTATATTATTATTTTATAAAAAAATAATTATTTTCAAATTTATTTAAAATTAAAAATTATTTTAATAAAAATATTTTTAAAATTGAATTTAGAAATATATATTTATTTAAATATTTAAATATTTAAATATTCAAATATTTTTTAAAGTTTTAAAATTTTTAATAAAATTTTTATTTAAGTATTTAAAAATTAGGATTTTAAAAAATCTTTTTAAAATCTATAAATTTAAAATTAAAATTTTTAAGTTAATATTTTTAAAATCTATATTTCTAAAGTTATTTAATATTTAAATATTTTTAAAATTAATATATTATATTAATTTAAGAAATCATTATATTAGGTTATAATATAACTAATAATAATTTATTTAATATAACTTTTAGAATCTTATATTATTAATATATTAACATATTTTCTAAATTAAATAAATAGTTTAAATAATCTTCTAATATTAATATTATTATTTAAAGATTTTTTGTTAAAATATATAGACAAAGAAATCTATTTTAGAATCTAGAAATTAAGTTTATATATAATTATATCTATAGTCTAAGTTTAAACTATTTATATATTTATTTAGTAATCATAAATAATTATATTAAGATAATAAACTTTAATAAATATTTTAATAAAATTAAAGAATAGAATAAATAAAAGAATATTAGTTAATTAATTTTTGTTAGAAAATAATAAAATTAATTATAAAATTTAGTTATAATAATTAAAAGATATTAAAAAATCTAATTAAATATTTGTTTTTGTTTATAGATTATTAGAATTAAAATAATTTAAATAATTGGTTAATATTTTATAATAATACTGTAAAGATAAATTAGAACTAAAGTTAGTAGTTTTATTATAATAATATAATTCTGGAGTTATAATAGTAATAATAGTATTATAGTAAATAATATAGTAATAGAAGAGTTATAGAGATAGACTGAAACTAAAGTTAATGGTCTTACTATAATAATATAACTCTAGAGTTGCAATAGTAGTAATAATTATAATAATAGTATTGGTAGCAACAAATTGTAAAAATAGATTGGAGTTAAAATCAATAGTCTTATTATAGTAGTACAACTCTAAAATTATAAAAGTGATGGCAACATTGTGATAGATAATATAACAGCGAGGGAGCTGTGAAGATAGATTGGAGCCGGAATCAGTAGTTTTACTACAATAATACAACTCTAGAACTACAGCAGTAGTAATAATTGTAACAGTAGTATTGGTAGTAACGAGCTATAGGGATAGACTAGAGTCAGAGTTAGTAATCTTATTATAGTAGTACAACTCTGGAACTACAGATATCTCTTTAAATCTATAGTCTAATATATTCGAAAATTATAATAATATTATAAAAAAAATTAGAATTAGAATTGATTCTGATTTAGAAAGTAATAATAATAATGTTGATATATTGGAGTTATAGAGAATTTAGAAATTAAAAATAATTAGACTAGATCTAAATTGTCTAAAACTAATTTAGATAGAAATATAAAATAAAGTATATTTATATTTTTTAATATAGATATATACTATAAATAAAAATAATATTTAAAAAAACTAGAAAAGTTATTTAGTCTTATATTAAAAACTATTTAATTATAATATCTTATGATCCTAAAAAAAATAAAAATAGTCTTTTATTTAAAAATATAAATATTATAAAAACAAAAATATTTTTAAATAATTTATTTCCCACTTAAGCAAACCTCAATCTATAACCAAAATTAAAACTATTTTATTAATATTATTAAGATTAAAATTAAAGAAAATATCAACTATCTTATACCTAAAAATAAAAAGAATTATAGACTAAATTTATAATATAAATTTAATTATTATAAAACAATATAAATAGATTGTAGTAGATTATTATATTTATTCTTTAACAAAAATTTTGGATAATTTTATATTAATAATATATATTATTTTTTATATTTACTAATTTTATATATTATTAAATAAATATTTAAAAATCTAAATAAGTTTATAGTATTATATAAATAGTATAAATTAAATTTAAATATTATATTAGAAATATAAAATATATTTATTGATTTGTAATCTAAAGGATTAATTTAATTAATAATAGTTTCTAAAGGTTTATATAAGGAAATATATCAAAACAGAGAAATATAGATTATAATTATTTATATACTCTTTAAATAATTAAATAAACATTTTAATAATATTCTTAATCTTTTCTACTAGAAGGTTCAGAACATTTTATAAAAAAACCTATTGCAAAGTAGGTATAGTTTTAAATTACTTAAAAAGATTAATAATTTTAAAGAATCTCAAAATCTAAACTAGTAGGATCAGAAATTCAAACTAATATTTCTCTAAAACAAATAGGATCTACAAAAAAAATTAATAAATAATTTCTATTTAAAAACTAACTAAAAGAAGTAGAGGTATTAACTATAATATAAATAAATCTATAAGATTAGTAAAATTAGTAATAGCAACTAATATCAAAATCTTGGATATAGTGGACTTAAAATGAAGGCTATATTACAAAGTTATAAACCTATTATTTCTAAATCTTTAGAGATTCTATTAAATAAATAAAATAAAAAAAGATAGTAATAGTTATAGAATAGAATATTATCTAATAATAAGATTCAAAGTAAAATAGATTATCTAGAATTAAAATATTAAAAAACATCTAAACAACAGATTCAAATTAATATCATCAATTAACACATTAATAGAAATAAAAGATTTATAGAAATAGAATATTTATAGAATATAGATAGTTAATTATAGAGTAGAAAATAGATGCAGAATAAAGGTAGTTGCTACTTATGGAAATAAAATGCTCACAGAATGAAGGTGTGTATGTAGAATAAAAATAGTTACTACTTACTAAATGCAGGATATTCATAAAGGCAGTATATTCATGGAGACAGGGTGCTCACAGAGTAAGGGTACTTATAGAGTAAGGATATATATATAGAGTAAAGATAACTACTACTTACTAAGTGTAGGATGCTTATAAAAATAGTATACTTATAGAAATAGGGTATTTATAGAATAAAAATGTTTGTGGAGTAAAGATATGTATATAGAGTGAAGGTAGTTACTACTTACTGAGTATAGGATATTTATAAAAACAGAGTATTTGCAAAGATAAAATATATGTAGAGTAAAAATATTTATAAAATATATATAGATATTTATAGAAACAAAATATTTATAGACTAGAAGGATTAATATATAATAAAAATAGAATCAATTTATTTTAATAATTTAATAATTTTAATAAAAGAAAGAATAAAAAAGAAGAGAAAGAAAGAAAAGAAAAAAAACAAATAGATATTTATAGATTTCTAAAATTAAGATTTTTAAATTAGAGACTTAAGACTTCTAAAATTAAAATTAAGATCATTATTACCTCTTTATTTCTATTTACTTTTTTATTTTCTTTTCTTATCTATTATC